CAACAAGATGTAATTCCATGCCTAATCCACTGTGCCTTGTTTGAATTCAGACACTCCCTGCCTGCACTCTTCTGTTTCAGCTCAGAAAACAAGTTTGAAATACAGAATATAGAATAATGGATGCCTCTTAGTTCTCCACACTTACTACATAAAAGGAAATGCTGAACAACTGTTTACTACCTTAGTTCTGTAAGGTTTTTCTCTAAATATTCAGATCATCGTGTTTGGGGAAGATACTGTGTAAGGTAAGTTTGCAGTCTTGATGCTGATCAATCACAGGATGCTTTAGATTCTGAACTTACTAGAAAGTTGGGTTCAAATCAAATACTGGAGAATGCTGAAGCTGATAGGTCTGACTTTGAACTGGAGATACTTGTGGATAGTGTGCTACTCTTAAATAATTTGATCCTGTTTCTTCTGTTACGGACTCAGTTATCTTTTGTGTACATCAGAATGTAGCAGATTACTTGGGAATTCTAGACAGATTTGTAATTCCAACAAAATGTTTATTGCAACGTATATTCACCTATACAATTTTAACATCTTTATAAAGAGCTTATTTAATTTGTAGTATGCCACCTTCTTAGGTACCTCATAAGTATCTACAAATGGTTTAGGAAGACCCTCCCTATCCTCCAAGAAACCATTGCCCCATACTTAGAAATTCCCAGAGGCTGATAGAACAGAAAGTGAGTGGCTTGCCAGACATCCAGAAGCTTATCAATGAAGATAGGATTACAAACCCGGCTTTCTGATTAAAAATTGTTTAATGTTCACAATGCTACATAGTAAATGCCAAGAATAAAGTTTCAAGGGTAGGAATAGACAGGGGAAGAACTCAGTTCAACTTTTCTAGAGACTTGAAGGTGATCATGCCCTTGGTCTGCTTCAAGACAATCTCTCGGCCTTGAAACTTGACCGTTCTAAAGATTCCCCCAAATTAATCTTAATTTAGAAAATGTTTTTTCCACAACTAGAAGTGACACTTCATGTGAAGAGACTTCTGGGGAGGAAACATAATGAATCTCATTATACAGAGAATTTAATGTCTTACAGTCTGGGTCACCATTGCCCTGTTCTGTTCTCTCGAGATATTTTTTTATGCCTGTTTTCCTCATCTCCTGTCTAGCTTAGCCTTTTAGCACTCAAACATATTCTGAGTTAGGTGGTCACCAAGAATTGTTGCCAATCTCTGATGCCGAGCAAGAGTCTGACAGAATGACAACATCAAAAATGAAAAAGGAGAAGAAAATTGGCTACCTGCTGTTGGATCTGCTATTTGAGAGAAACACATGGACAGCAGAGGGTGAGATCCCCAAAGTTAATTGTTGCTATTACTATCTTAAGGCTAACCTGGCGCTCACTTATTTAGTACCCACTTATACCAGAATTGACGCACGTGACGAGGGTGTTCCCACATCCACAAGGAGAACTGTTGGAACTTAAGTCATTCCTGCTCATCACACTTGGATTCGTGCTTATTTGAACTACAGTTAGATAAACTCGCTGGCATGATCTTAAGGAACAAATTCATGATGATTGGATTGACCTCATAAACCAATAGTTGTATAATTTTTAATGTCTAGACCAAAGATTTTAAATGCATAAAAATATGCATTTTAAAAATTCAAGTAAAACTGTACAAATCACATACCTGGATGGAAAATTTTTCAAAAATTCGGCATACAGAATGATAAATGTCTTTAAATATTTCAAAACATTTGGCCTAAACATCAAAGTTACAATTGTAAGTAACCTTGGGGGCAAAATAGCTGCACTAAATAGTACATCAGAATATTACTAAATATTAACGTTCTTGTTCTATAGAAGACACTAATTTTAACAAATCACCTATATAGAAACGGTCATGGAAAGTCAATAGACAAAAATATATGTTAAATTTTCTTAGTAATCAAAGAAATCCCTATTAACGTGAGTTGAGATACTAGTGCTAAACACGGGCAAGCACGATGCGGCCGTAAGTGTGCTCTGTTACTGTTAAACATCTAACGATCTGGTTTGATGGGCTTCTAAAGCATCGTACACCACTCTCCATGAGCTACACCGGAGAATCAACCTCACAATATTGTATATTATAAGCAAACTTGGTTTACATTCATGTTTCTAAGTTGAGTGTCATTCAGTTACAGCAATAGTCTGTATAAAGACTACGTGGGAAAGGTGCTAAATATTAAGTATATATAAAGTTAGTTTACTAAAGCTTGAAATTATGCATAGACATAAAAAGTTATTACATGGGGGCACGGAGTAACCCAGTTGATTCCTTTTTTCTTTCCCAAGTATTAAATGTTATACTGGGTAATTTTTAAAACACAGGGAATGAATCAACACTGACAAGAGTGGAAGATGGTTTTAAAATGAGTGGTTACGGAGCCACTCACATCTCCCCTTTCCCTTTGTGAAGAAAGCTGGGGAGATCCTCGGGGTCTCATTAACAAGTTTCAGGGCCAGGAGTATTCATGGTCAGGGTTTTGGGACACAGCTGCCCTGATAAGCATATTTTTGGACCCATTTTTTCCTCTTGAGCTGTAATATTCCCAGTGGACCAATAGCAGTCACTGTGGTTGGTCTCCAGTAGGTTCCACCATTCTCTGAATTTACTGTGAAATAACGAGCATAGCCCTCCAAGGATCTTGTTCTTAGTAAATTGTGGACAACCAGGTCTGGGTGAGCATTTACCTCTCCATCATACGAATTGCTGCTAAGTGTTTGCCTTTAATTTCCCCAATGGTTTAACACGGTTTAAAAAAATAATAAAACAGCTTGTGGAAAGCTCTGGCATAAAGCTTGGTAACATTTCAAGAATGAGAACTGAAAAATGCATAAGGATATAATGTGGGTTTCATCAGTAAAAATCTGGCTGAGAACTTAATTTTCATCATTTTCCATCCGTCCATTGTGGCCTGGTTGTGGTGGGATGTACCGAGGGGACCCTGGTGTGAGTTTCCTGTCTACCAGCCAGTGGGCTGCAGCTTCCATCATTTTTATTGTCCTTTGTTCACATATCAAATAAGTCAAAACTGCAGAGGTCTTAAAATCATTCTGAAAGTGCATCTGTGGTCACACATACTGCATACGTTCATGTGCCTTGATTCTAGGCTTCCTGAAGACAGATGATGTCTTACATTCTTTCAGGTCCTTTTGGAATATCAAACTTGGGCTTACCCAGTGTGCCTCTTGGGAAACGTTTGTGGGAGGAATGAATTGATGTCTACTTTGTCCTGTTGGAGAACAGCATAGAACAATTACACTGTCACTGTTTGAAGAGAACCATGTTCCTCTGGGGAAGTTTCCTTAAGCCTCGTTTTCAACTGTAGAATGGTCTAGTATCTTACAAAGTTGTTCAGAAATGTAAAACTTATGAATCGGTTATTACTATTTGCAGGTGAATGCATATACAAGTAGACATTTTTCTAGTTTGGTGTCGCACCTACATTTCTTGGCTCAATTCTAATTTGGGTTGTTTAATTCTGGAGGACTTGTTTGGATGAAAGGTACTTGGAGCTGTCATTCTCAGGAAGGGATGATACCTCTAGACCAGTGCTGTCTAGTAGAAATCCTAGGGGAGCCATAGAGATAATTCTAAATTTTCTAGTAACATCAAAAATGTAAAATAAGTGAAAATTTTAATCTAGATCCAAATGTATCTAAAATATTTACCACATAATCAATATAAAGTTTTAAGGAGCTGTGCTGCATATGTTTTTAACAAGATTTGGAATTCTTAATGTAACTTGTACTGTGACGGCACATCTTGACTTGGAGCATCATGTCTCGGGCTCCACACTGGACAGTGCAGCTCCGTAGGATGCAGAGAAGCTATCCACATACCGCATTTAGGGACACATGAGTTAAGAT